CCAAGTCATTGGTTTGTTCTGACCAGTTCACCCTGCATTCAGGAACATAGCTCAATTCCATTTACTATCATAACGAGTATCGTCATCAAATGCTGATATTTGCCAGATGTTGTGCCAAGTGCTTTCATACATTGCTTCATTTAATCCTCTTAGTAGCCCTAAAGTCTGACTACTGTTTTTTTTTTTTTTTTCCAATTTTGTAAATGAGGAAATTGAGGCTTAAAGAGGTCAAGTAATCTGCTCAGGTGTGCAGAGTCAAGGAATTTCTTTTTATTTCCAGATCAGTTTCCCTTCCCACATTCTGAGTGCTAGACCCCAGCCAGTAGTCTCTCAGATTTTCCAAGCACCAGAGCAGACTAATGCTTTCTCTTGTCCAAATCAGTGTCTCTCAATGTTTCCTGCCTTGCCCCCACCCAATTGCAAAAGTTCATGCCTTAAACTAAATAATCAGATGATACTTTCCCCTATAAATTTGCCTATAATAAAAGGGTAAGATGTGGTGGGAGGCAGACTTTAACATTCTGACCAATTTATAAAGTATCATTTCAGTTAATAAGCTGTCCTTTGGCTATGCATTGGATTCTGACGTGTCTTGGTAATTTTCTTCTCTGTTAAATGGTCACTAACTGCCAAAGTTGGAAAATGCTACTGAGCCTTACTATGTCACTAATTGATCTCATCTTTCATGATTCAGGAAGACCTGTCCCAGATGATTGGTCAAGGTGTGGTGGCAGACCATCAGAAGACACTGGAGTACCCAACTGATGATGTATGTAACTTGTACTTAGGTTTTGCTCTACTGGTGTGGTGTGCAATATAAACTATATTCTAGAAGAAGTGGAGGTGATTACCATAAGATCAAATCCTTTATCACTTAATAAATAAATAAATATAAAATTTCCATTATTCACTATTTGTATGTTTCAGAAACTGTAGGTAACTAGAGCTCAAAAGGAGTGTATGATATTTCAAACACTGCCAAAGAAAATCCCTTTGAAAATTCTCTGAGATTCTATGCTAAAAGCCTAAATTAAAAAAAAAAAAAAAAGATGTAGCTAGGCTCAGGAGTTACATAGCTCCATGGTTATATACTTGCCTAGCATGTATAAGGCCCTGGGTTTGATCCCTAGCACCTCAAAAAACCAACCAATCAATAAATGTAAAAAGAACTTTGCAAAATAATCAAATTAAGTTCAATGGAAACTCATAAGCATTTTTTTTTTCATTTAAAACCAGATTTTTGTGTTATGTAATGTGTTTACAAATCCTGTTAATGTGTTAGCATTTTATATATTATTGTTCATCTCAAGTCATGTATAAAGCATCTCTAAAATTTCATAACCATTGAATTTTTAAGCTGAGGTAAATCCTAACATTATCTGGTTTTTCTTCTCCATTCTTAAAAATGTGCACTGAGATGTCTAAAGCATTTTCCTCTGGGAAAATAATAAGCCTTTTCTGTGGCTGCAGAAGAGAAATTATCAGAGATCAGTGGGGCAGCATCTGCAGTGAGGCCAGGTTAGCTCATTATAGAGATCTTCCCAACTGTTCAAGCTGCTCCACATGGCATGAGCTTCTTCATGGAAATGGAATTTTCCATCCCTGAAGATTATCAGTGAGAAGCTCCTGATAGCTTATTAGCATGTTAAAAGAGGACCAAAAAAAAAAAAAAAATTAAAAAGAAAGAAAGCATTAATAGGGTTGGGTTATAGCATATATGTAGACCTGGGTTCCATCTCTACCCAGCTCAGGTCAGGAAGACCTGTCCCTTCAGAAAAAAATAAAAATTAATAGTTATTCTTAATTGGGTTCCTAGGTTATTCCTGGCATAGTAATAGATTTATTTATTTATCCCTAACCTTCATGATAACCTTGCAAAATACAGATGCATCACTCTCAATTTATAGATGAGGAGGTTAAGTGACTTGTCTATGGTCATAAAGTTAGTGGTAGCAAATTTAGCAATTCATGTCTTCTTTTAAGTAGTGATTTTTTTTTCTTATAATGGGGACCTGAAAAAGTGGAACACTTTTCTTCAAAAAATCCTAATAAGTGTAATTTTGATACAACCACAGAGGTTTTACAACTCCCAGAATTCAGTCTGTGAACCTCTCAGAAGCTCTGAGTTAATCCATGATTCTTCATCGACAGTGGCACACACCTATAATCCTAGCTACTCAGGAGGCTGAAGCAGGAGGATCACACATTCCAGGCCAGCCTTGGAAACTTAGCAAGACCCTGTCCCAAAATCAAAAATAAAAAGAGCTGGTGATATAGCTCAGTGTTAAGAGTGCCCCTGGGTTCAATCTGTAGTGCCAAAAAGGAAAACAACAACAACAAAAAAAAAACCATCATTTTTAACTTTAAACAATAAAGTCTCAATTTTTAAAAAGAAAGAAAGGAAGAGGGAGGAACACTTTCCCTGGACTTTGTACCCTTTGCTATTTATTTGGTCTGGAATGGAGGGAAGTTTCTTTTTTAACTTTCTAGGTATTCCTGTTGTGAGACAGGGTTGAGAATCACTGGTTTAATTGGGTTGGATGACATGCAAAATCCACTCCAACTTTATAATCTGTTATAGTGATACACGATAGCAAATCCATTCTCTTCTTCTCCATACTTAGTAGTTTGATTTTGTGCTAATGGGTGAGCCACAGGAGACCAACTTTACCTGTCACCACACCTACCAGCAATTGTTCTGCCTCTGCATCTATGGTTAGATGTTCCATTTGATCTCCATAGACTGTGTCCTTATTTTTATTGTTTTTTGGTTTGGTTTTTTGCAGTGCAGGGGATTAAACCCAGGGCCTTACACAAGCTACACAAGTGCTCTACCACTGAGCTACATCCTTAGCCCCTATTTTCTTATTTTTAAGTTGAATTCAATTCTACCTGTATGTATTTTTAAAAATATTTTTTAGTTGTAGATGGATATAATACCTTTATTTTATTTATATATTTTATGTGGTACTGAATATCAAACCCAGTGCCTCACACGTGCCAGACAGGCACTCTACCACCAAGCCACAACCCCAACCCTTATTGGTCATTTATTAAGCACCAGAGGCTACATGGAACTGGGTTACAGAGAAGAGCTACAACCATTCCCTGCTTTTATAAAAGTCCTGATCTAGTAACTGTTTACTCTATACTTTCCTGTTATAAAATTCATATGGTTTTTTTAGAAAACAACAACAAAACTTGTAGCTTGCCTTTGGGTTTGTTGGGAATGCATGTTCTTTCTTGAGACAATGCAAAGTGAAAGCTGGATGTAAAGTACTATAAGAGTTAAAATACAGACTCAATTGCTGCAAGAAGCTTCTATTTCACAAGGCAATCTGGGTGTAATCAATTTCAGCATGCTGTTGTGTCTCCACAGTGTCATGGAACCTCTTATCTGATAACCATTCTTACTGGATTACCTCCGTCCAATCATAACATCTATTTTCTGGTCTAAGATGGCTGCTGTATTTATTACTGGTACAGCTGCATTTCAGCCAGGCTGGAGGGAAAGGCAGGATCTTTCTCTTTAAGAGAATGACCTGGAAACTACACGCCCACTGACCAGGACTTCTGGGCACACCTGCCTTCAAGAAGGCTGGTAGATGTGATCCTCTATGCAGCTAGCTATCTCAGTTATTTCAGTGCTCAGTTTTCTGGTACTAACCCCTTTGTTGTCTTTTTTCCACTTTTCTCTCTTTAAAATCACTGCTCAGTATATAACTGAGTCTTTAAAATATATGTACAGTCACTAATAAATGATCATGATAGAAAAACTGCAAGGAAAAAAACTAAACCCCCATAGAATTATGGCCTAGCAGCTCTTTGGTAAATGCTTTAAACTTGTAGTGTTCTTCACCTACTGACTTTCAGTCTACCTCTTACTCAAATTAGCTATGTGATTTGAGGGTTGTCACTTGACATTTGTGTCTTGATTTATCAAAACAAAATATTATTGACTAACTCTCAGGGCTGTTCATTGATTGATGGGTTCACAGATATACAAGTGTTTTGAAAACTAGAAGCATGATGCCCTGTGCTAAGAAACAGCCCTTCCATGGCAGAATCTTGAAATGTTATGGTTCTGGAGCAGTTCTTGGTCCTATTTCTAGACTCCGGGATCAGCCTGGTGCTTCACTACATCCACCAGAATCCTCCAGCTGGGGATGGGTTCCCTGACTAACAACAAATCCAGAAGGCAGGTCAGGTCACTGCCTCTTTCTTAACTGCCTGTTAAGCAAGCATGGAGTCCTTTTGTCTTCTCTCAGTGTTTTAATATTCATTGGGGGTATCATCAGCAAAATCCAGAATTACAAGTTAATTTTCCAAAGCTCACACAGAAGTCCCCATAGGTCACTCAATTGCATGTTAACTTCCAACCCTGAGTTTCCCATCTCTTTAGTTTTGATCTTCTGTACCTGTTCATTCATTCATTCACTCATTCATTCATTTATCAAACATTTATTGAGTACCTGCTATTTTCCAGGCACTGGGTATCAAAGGTAAATAAGGGACAGTTCCTTTAGATGAATTAAATGTAATTGATGTACCTGGCATTTAGTAGGCGTTCACTGGATATTTCTTTCCCCTTCATTCCCCTGGTGTTGCTTATTAACCTACCTAATGTATCTTTGACTATTGTTTGTGTATCCTGCAGGGAAAGACAGTGTTGTGTGCTCAGAAAATCTGCAGCATAGATTGTTTTTCACTGAGCTCAGACAGACATGTGGACTTGATATTGTTTTTCTCCAGCCCAGCTTCATATACAGATCACAATGATGAAGTACCTTCAGCTTTCTTCCTTACTTTCTTCCTTCACTAAAGCATCTTACCTATAAAGTTAAACAGGGATGCATGGGGCAAAAATCAACCTAATTACTCTTGCCACCTTCCCCATCCTTAAGTCTCAAAAGACAGTATTGGAATGTACTTTTATTTCGGTATCATGTTACCACTCCTGTCAGTCTTTGATGTTCATCTAATTTTCCTTCCTTTCGTAGGCTGCCAGCCAGATGAAAGAGCAAAAATATTCAACAAAAGCCTCCTTCAGTTCACAAGAGATACCGTTAGCGCCAACTCCATCATATCATTCATCGGATACCGACTTCACCAACTGTGGTATGATTCTTTCCCCTGAGCTGCATTGACTTATGAAATATTAGAGAAGGAAGGGATCATGGTGTCCTAAAAAGAGAACTGGACCAGAGACAGGGAGTTCTGCACCCCTACTCCATTCCTCAGCTTTGGAACTTGGATAGATCACTGTACTTCCTAAACCATTTCTCCATCTGTGCCGTTGGTGTTGCCTACTACTGGTGGAATATAAAAGAACTGGAACAGACAAGGCCCGTAGTAAATGCTATTTGTTTTTCTGTTTGTTGGTTTGTTTTGGCTTTGGTAGTGGTGATCACCCAGAACCTTGTGCATGCAAGGCACATACTGTACCACTGAGTCATCCCCAGCCCAGTAATTGCTATTTGAGTCTGGCCTGATAGATTAATCTCTAGTCACTGCAAAATATTATATTTAGGTCATGATTAATATCTTAAAAAATCATATTGAACCCAAATTTTAGCACTACATGTTGATGTAAGCCATTTGAAGATTTATTTTCAGTGCTTAAAGAAATTGATGTGTACTTTCTTTCTTTAACTTCCTGGCTTGAATTATGCTGACTGAGGGTTGAACACAGAACTTTGAAATGAACAACAGATATTTCCACTTTGATTTTATGCAATATTAATCAGTGAAAAATGGATGCTTTGAAACACCACTCTCACCATTGGCAAAACATAACCCTGTGTTAATTCAGCAGGCCTGATACCTTTTGGTATTATTTGTCTTTAATGTCTATGTGTATGTAGTACTGGAAATTGAACCAAAGGCCCTTGCATATGCTAGAAAGCATTCTATCACTAAAGTACATAATCAATCCTTTTCTTAAAAAAAAAAAAAAAAAAAAAGTTATTTTGAAATAGGACTTTGCTAAGTTGCCCAGTGCTGCCTCAAACTTGCCATTCTCCTGCCTTAGCCTCCTAAGTAGTTGGGATTACAGGTGTGCATCAGCATGTCCAGCTTGTCTTTAGTATATTTTTTTCATAAATATTAACTTTTTTATAAAAAGTTTATCCAGTAGGTTTTATTTTAAAGCACTGTGTTTATAGTAAAATAATTAATGAACATGATCAAGAAACTATGGCCTGTGAGTCAAATGTAGCCTACTACCTCTTCCTGATTAGTTTATGAACTTAAAATGGTTTTTACTTTTTTAAAATAGACATAATACCTTTATTTATTTATTTTTACATATAATTTTTTAGTTGTTGATGGACTTTTATTTTATTTATTTATATGTTGTGCTGAGAATCAAAACCAGTGCCTCACACATGCTAGGCAAGTGCTCTACCACTGAGCTACAACCCCAGCCAGGTTTTCACATTTTTATTTTTTATTTTTCACATTTTTCAAGGTTGGGAAAAAAGCCTGTTTTATGAAAATATGAAATTCATATTTCCATGTTCACTAATAGTTTTATTGAGACTCTCATGTATTTACACAAATGAGTAAACAGCATGCTGCTTTCACACTATAAAGATGGAGTTAAGTAGTTGCAGCTGAGACTGTATGGCCAGCAATCTGCAAAATATGTATACCTGGACTTTGACCAAGAAAAATTGCTGACTCGATGTGTAGACAGTTGAATTTTGGTAATATATATCAGTATCTATACCAAATAAGAGAAATTTATGACTTTACATTTTAATTTATGGGAATTTTATTCATTTCTCACCCACTTTCCAAACATTTATTGAAGAATTGATATGATCCCGATTTGGACCGAATTCTATTAAGAGAAATAAATTCAAAGACTGACTCAGGACTCGCTAGGATGAGGAAGGAGCAGAGGAGGGAAAGAAATGCCATCTCCCATATCTTTATTGTATTCTCTCCTCATTCGGGAGAGTAAGCTGGTCATTTACAAAAGCAATATAAACTTTTAAAAGCGTCCGTGAAATTGTGCCAGTATTGTCCATCATTTTTATTGTAAATTAACAGGAGTGGCAATGTGAACTATATATGCTGCACAAAGATCTAGAAACAGATTAGGTTTACAATTTAATATTCTTCTAATAGGGCACTTTTATTGTTACTGAGGTTGTATCACTAAATTTCTTTTAACTGGGAGACCATTAGATTAATAAATTCCATGTGAACAGTACAGCCAATGTGAAGAACCAAGTAGTTAATATTTTAGCCTCACAGGCCAGATGTTCTCTGTTACAGCTACTCAACTGCCCTCGTAGTGTCACAGCAGTCATAGACTATACATATGTGGGCTAGTAGGCTGTATCCAATACAGGTTTATTTATGGAAACCAAAACTTGGGTTTCATATACCTTTTACATGAATGGAAATATTATTTTTCTTTAATTATTATTATTTTTTTTTTTTTGCATTTTGAAAATGTAAAAACCAGTTTTGGCCAAAGGGCTGTAGTATGCAGTCCCCTGCTAATAAGCAGGGGACTGCATACTACAGCCCTTTGGCTGTATATAATCTAATGAAGCATTGTGGATTTCATCTTGGTTTCTGTGCACTAACTACAGCTCACCAGCAGATGGGGCCCTCTTTTCTCAGCCTTTTAAATTATATCACAATGTAGGAATCAGTCCTCAAGATGATCAGTCTTAGTTATTAACAGAAAAGTTGGCATTGTCTAGAAATTTCTATCTACTAAGAGTCTCTTGAAAATAATGTTTTGAATGTTTAGACTTTCTGTGTGTGTGTGTGTGTGTGTGTGTGTGTGTGAGAGAGAGAGAGAGAGAGAGAGAGAGAGAGAGAGAGAGAGAATGAATGAGAATGAATGAATGAATATGTGTGTGTACTGGGGATTTAACCCAGGGATGCTCTACTACTGAGCTACATCTTTGTTCTTTTTATTTTTTATTTGAGTCAGTGTCTGGTTAAGTTGTCCAGGCTAGCCTTGAACCCACGATCCTCCTGTCTCAGTCTGAGGCACTAGGATTACAGGTTTGTGCCACCATGTCTGGAAGAATGTTTTGTTTGTTTGTTTGTTTAATAGACTAGGTTTATTTGTCTGGTAAATGCACATATATAGAAGTGGATCAAGGGGTGTTATTAAACCTCTTTTTTTGCATATAATATATATTTTTTTAGTTTTTAGAAAAATCCATTCTTAAACAATGATTTTTTTTCTTTATTTCTTTTTGTTTTGTTTTTGGTATTGTGTATTTAACCTGGGGATGCTTAACTATTGAGCCACATGCCCAGCCCTTTTTTTTTCCATTTTGAGATAGGGCCTCACTAAGTTGCTTAAGCCTTGCTAATTTGCTGAGGCTGGCTTCAAACTTGGCAATTTCCCTGCCTCAACCTCCTGAATTGCTGGGATTACAAGTGTGCATACTATACCTGGCACTAACACAATGATTTTTTTTTAAAGTGAAACTTATAGATCAGCAGTAACTCCTTAAAAGACTCTCACTAGGGGCTGGAGTTGTGGCTCAGCAGTAGAGTTCTCACCTAGCATGTTTGAGGTCCTGGGTTCAATCCTTAGCACCACATAAAAGTAAATTAATAAAAAATAGGTATTGTGTTCAACTACAACAAAAAAATAAAGTATTTTTAAAAATTCTCACTAATGGATCCAGCAAGTATTCTTGAATGTTTTTTATAATAGTTTTTTAAAAATTATTTTTACTAGTATATTTACAGGGTGAGTATCCCTTGCCTAAAATGCTTAGGACTAGAAGTATTTCAGATTTTGGATTTTAGAATATTTGCATATACTTAATGAGATAGCTTGGGATGAGACCCAAGTCTAAACACAAAATTCATTTACATTTCATATCTACCTTATATATGCATTTTAACTGGACTATTACCCATTCTATGAAGAGAGGAATGGAATTTTCTTTTTTCTTTTAATTTATTGGCAGGACTGGGGGTCAACCCATGACCCCATGCATGCGAGATGGAACTTTCCACTTGTGCCAGCATCCTGTCAATGCTCAGAAATTTTTGGGTTTCAGATTTTTGGATTAATGATACTCAACCTGTAATATATTTGAAGATAAATTTTAAGTAATTGTTGGATTCAGTTAAAACATACTTTATTGATTAAATATTTTATATATTATAATCCATATATTGTGTCTAACTGAAAGTATTTAAGCACTTTTAGTGTTTTATAACTCAGGATCTCCTGGCATACTAAACTTTTTTAGTCATTATAACATATGACTTTATGTACCCAATGGCTTAATTATGTTAAATTTTCCCCTGATGGTTCTCATGATGTGTTTTGAGGTTTAAACAACTTTAAGCAGATCTAAGATCCATCTGGGGTCTCTGGTTTGCTTCAAGGGGGCTGGGGATGTAACTCAGTGGTGAAGCGCTGGCCTGGGATTCGTGAGGCCCTGGTGCAAGCCCAGCACCACCAAAAAAAAAAGTCATAGGAATGTCACATTTCATCCCTGAGTGAATGACCAAGGTTTTTCCTTCATGATTCTTGGCAGGAGAAGAGTGAAATGATAAACACATGCAAACTCTGTGCTCTGCCAGTAATGGAGCATGTAGGCCAGACTGCCTCTCATTATTCTGTCTTTCTTTCCCCCCCGCCAGGTAGCTTCCAGGCTCCTCTGTCAGTGGATCCTGCAACGTGTCCCATTGTCCCTGGCCAGGAAATGATTATAGAAATATCCAAGGGACGCTCAGGCCTTGGTCTCAGCATTGTGGGAGGAAGAGATACACCCTTGGTAAGTTTCTATGTAAAATATATCGATTATCCCAGAATTAACTGTTGGGGCTCTTTATGGCCCTGGAACACATCTATGGAAGACTCAGCATTTTAATATTATGGGAAATATCATGTGCTTCCATATAATTGCCAGTTTTCAAGTGTTTCTTTTCTTTTTTTTTTCCTTTCTTTTTTTTTTTTTTTCAGTTGTAGATGGACACAATACTTTTATTTATTTTTATGTGCTGCTGAGGATTAAACCCAAGGCCTCACACATGCTAGACAAGTGCTCTACACTGAGCCACAACTCCAGCCCCTCAAGTTTTTCTGAACATGTAACTTTCACCGGGAGTTTCTCCATCTAGGATTTTGAGGGGTTTTGTAAAGACCAATTAGACCTATAGGAGCACAGCATTTAGAAGTACTAAAACAGTATTTAGAGCAGTGCTTGGCACATGGTAAGTATTCAGTAAATAGGAACTATTATTATCATCCTCCATTACCATTGTTACTTAATGGAATGATAGATAAAAAGTAAACAAGCCAGGTACAGTGGCACATGCTTTAATCCCAGGAACTCAGGAGACTGAGGCAGGAGGATTGTAAGTTCAAGGCCAGACTCAGCAACTTAGCAAAACGCTAAGTAACTGAGTGACACAACGTAGTGGTAAAGCACTTTGGGGTTCAAAAAAAACAATATAAATATCAGAGGCTACAGGTGTAGAGCATTGCAGAGCATTTTCCTAGCATGCACAGGGTCCTAGATTTCATCCCCAATACCAATTAAAAATATATATATATAAATTATTCGAGCCAAAAAAATTAGAGTTCGAATAAACTGATAATTTTTTTTGAAAAACTAGTCTAGATTCTTAGCTTTTCCTAGGATGATTTTTTAATTGTTCAATACCTTTTATATGTCACTATTCAATAATGCATTGAAATATAAAACTTTCTGTTTGTGCTTTTTTTTTTTGCTCAATATGTGATTAATCAGTGCATACATATTAGAATCAGGTAATACATGCATGTTGAACCAAGTTAGATTGGCATAAAAGGCTGTAAAATGAAAAACAAATCTCCCTCCGACTCTTCAGCTCTATTCAGCCTGCTCTTTACCACCCACCCAACCCCCCCAAAATAGGGAATTGCTTTTATCATGAATGTGCATTTAAGTGAATATTTATTTTTAATGTTTATTCCTAAGTTTTAGGTGGACACAATATCTTTACTTTACATTTATGTGGTGCTGAGAATCGAACCCCGTGCCTCGTGCATGCTAGGCGAGTGCTCTACCACTGAGCCACAACTCCAACCCCTTAAATGAATATTTTGATATTTCCTTTGCCCATTTATCTAGTAAGGCATGAAGTATATGGGCCAGGTTTACAGATAAAACAAATACATGATCCATGAACTATTTTTTTTCCATTTTGGGCAGGAGCATAATGTTTCTGTGTTGTACCTTTGGGGAGTGGGGAGATTCTTTTGTTCTTCTGTAATAAATACTAATCACCTAAAGCAACAGAAGAGTCCAAGAACTACAGGTATTGCAGAAACCCACTCTTACTGTCTCTTCCCTGTTCACTGGCCTGATCTAGAGAATCCTGGCATGTGGCCACATACCAGTCATTTAGTCATCTATGCACATAGGGTAATAATGTCAGGTTCATCCTACTATCCTTCTTTCCCCCATACTCCCTTCCCTCCCCTCTACCTAATCTAAAGTAACTTGATTCTTCCCTAGCTCCACCACCCCCCTGATAATGAATTAGCATCCATATATCAGAGAAAACAGTCGATCATTGTTTTTAGGGGATTGGCTTATTTCACTTAGTGTGATAGTCCCAAATTCCATCCATTTACCTGAAAATGTCATAATTTCATTCTTTTAAGGCTGAGTAATTTTCCATTGTGTATATACATACCACATTTTCTTTATTCATTCATCTGTTGAAGGACACTTAGGTTGATTCCATAGTTTAATAATTATGAGTTAAGCAGCTATAAACATTGATGTGACTGCATCACTATAGTAGGCTGATTTTCAATCCTTTAGGTATGAACCAAGGAGTGCGATAGCTAGGAACAAATAGTGTTTCCATCCCAAGTTTTCTGAGGAATCTTCATACTGTTTTCCAGAATGGTTGCACCAATTTGCAGTCCTACCAGTACATCCTGGCCAACACTTATTGTTACTTGTTTTCTTGATAATTACCATTCTGACTGAAGTGAGATGAAATCTCAGTGTAGTTTTAATTTGCATTTATCTAATTGCTAGCAATGTTGAACATTTTTTCATATATTTGTTGACTGATTGTATTTCTTTTGTGAATGTCTGTTCAGTTCTTTAGCCCATTTATTGATTGGATTATTTGTTTTTGTGGTGGTGTTTTTTGAGTTCTTTATATATTTTCTCCAATTCTGTAAGCTCTCTGTTCATGTTCTTGATTGTTTCCTTTGTTGTGAAGAAGACTTTTAGTTTGATACCATCCCATTTATTGAATCTTCATTTTACTTCTTTACTTTAGTATTCTTCTTAAGGAATTTGGTTCCTAAGCAGACATGATGGAGAGTTGGGCCTACTTTTTTTTTCTAATAAGAACAGGGTCTCTGGTCTGATGCTTAGGTCCGTGGTCCACTTTGAGTTGAATTTTGTGCAGGATGTCAGATAAGCATCTGATTTCATTTTGTTACATATGGATTTCCAGTTTTTCTAGTACCATTTGTTAAATAGGCTACTTTTCTCCATTGTGTGTTTATGGTGCCTTTGTCTAATATGAGATAACTGTATTTATGTAGGTTTGTCTCTGTGTCTTCTATTCTGTACCATTGGTCTTCATGTCAGTTTTGGTGCCAATGCCATGCCATTTTTATTACTATAGCTCTGTAATATAACTTAAGGTCTGATATTGTGATGCCTCTGCTTTACTTTTCTCACTGAAGATTACTTTGGCTATTCTGGGTCTCTTATTTTTCCAAATGAATTTCATGACTTGTTTTCTATTTCTATAAAGAATATCATCAGAACCTTAATAGGAATTGCATTAAATCTGCATAGTGCTTGTTAGTGTGGCCATTTTTGACAGTATTCTGCCTATACAAGATCTTTCCATCTTCTATGGTCTTCTTCAGTTTTTTTCTTTAGAGGTCTGTAGTTTTCACTGTAGAGGTCTTTCACCTCTTTTGTTATATTGTTTCCAAATATTCTCTTTTTTTAAGGCTATTGTGTATGGAATAGTTTTCCTACTTTCTCTTTCAGTTGATTCATTACTAGTGTATAGGAATGCAATTGATTTATGGGTAGTTTACCTCTTTTTACTTTGCTAAGTTCATTTATGAGTTCTAAAAGTTTTCTAGTGGAGTTTTTTTTTTGGGGGGGGGTCTTCTAAATATAGAATCATGTCATTGGCAAATAGGGATAGTTTGAGTTCTTCCTTTCCTATTTGTATCCCTTTAATTTCTTTCTTCTAATTGCTCTGACTAGAATTTCAAGGACTATGTTAACTAAAAGTGGTGAAAGAGGTCAACCCTGTCTTGTTCCATTTTTTAGAGGGAAGGCCTTCAGTTTTTCTTCATTTAGAATGATGTAGCTCAGGTATGGTTCTACTATCCATAGTTGTTCTAGTGTTTGAATGTGAAGGGGTTCTATATTTTGTCAAGTGCTTTTTCTGCATCTATTGAGATAATCATGTGATTCTTGTTTTTAAGTTTATTGATATGATGAATTACATTTATTGATTTCCATGTTGAACCAACCTTGCATTCCTGGGAGGAACCCCCCCCCCCCTTGATCATGGTACACTAGCTTTTTAATGTATTTTTGTAGGTGTTTTGCCAGTATTTTATTAAGAATTTTTACATCTATGTTCATCAGGGATATTGGTCTGAAATTTTCTTTCCTTGATGTGTCTTTGTCTCTGATTTAATTTTTGTAAATATGTCTTCTTATATTGTTTAATGTAGGCACAACTAGATTTGCCATAGGAATCAGAGTTCATTCAGCATGGCTGGTCTGGCTGAATGAGTTGTGGCTTTTGTTTCGGTCTTTGTTGTTGGTACAGTTTTGCTCTTGTGGATTACTCAGATTTGTGGACAAGATGTGCCCATGCTGTTCTTGGGTCTGTAATATCTAATCTGCTTGGACTCCAGGTATCAACCTGTGGACATTCGCTGAGCCATGTCACCTCCTGTAACTTGGGTGTGAAGCCTTTTGTTGAATGCTTCTCTTATCACCATGAGGCAGCCAAAAAGAAAATTCTTTAAAGCATCATGAGGTTCATAATATATAGTTCTGCCTTTTGAGACCATAAATCCCATTGTCCTTGGAAGGATAAGCACCACTTAAAAATGAGGGATGGGACATAGTTTTTATTTCCTAACCTCATGTACCTCGTCAAAACCTATAAGTTAGACTCACAAGAAGATAGATTGGCCTGTCATTTTAAAGAGAGAAAAGCAGGGGGATAGAAGGTACTTTAACAAATAAATCCAGTGTTCCCACAATGAAGATCTTTATTTTTTTCTTTTTCTATTCCCCCTTAAATTTCAGTATGGAACATGCAACCTAATTGACTCTCTGGGTCACATTTTTCAGTCAGGTCTTGGGTTTGCATCCAGCCAGCAAGAAGTTCACAAACAAAAATGAAAGCTTTTGAAAGGGACTTGTACAAAGTGTTGAGGCCCAGCATCAAAAGTACTCTGCACATGAGCTTATGTGATACATGCTCCCTGCAGCTCTGTAGCAGGGAAAAGTACATTCTGAATTTCACCCCACCCTCCCGGTTAGGGTTTCCATGTCCTCTTTGTTGTGTGGCCAGCAGATATCTGGGGCATCTTTAGAGGAATTAAGTCTCTGGGACCTAGTCTTGATACCACATCAGTCATCTCTTCTATAAATAGTTTCTCTCGGGCCAAGACAGATGGCTCCTGAGATCACAGGGGAGATCGCACTCACTGTCCCATTGTGTCTGCAGCTGGGTGTCCAGGCCAGCCTTTTAAGTACCAAGATAATGATGA